TTTATTTATTTATTTATTTATTTATTTATTTATTTATTTATTTATTTATTTATTTATTTATTTATTTATTTATTATATTTCTCCCTTAAAGAGATAGAATTCATGGCATATGGTCAGCTAGTTCACACATACATTACTTGGGTGGCATACAACATTTAAAAATCCACAGATAAAAATCTCACCCTACTCACCCCATGGCCTCAGCAACACAATCAAATCAGCCACTTGATCAGCTCCATCTCCATTCATGGTCCCCAGGCCCACTGACAAAATCAGATTTTTATGGCCTTTTTGAAAAGCAACAGGTGGAGGCTAAGTTTACCTAGGAGGAAATGATGCTCCATAGAGAACAGGCGGTCATCGGGAAGACCCTTTTTCATGATCCCACTAGGCGTACATCCCTAATCGATGGAACCCAGAAGATACTCTGCTCTCTTGTCCTGGTGGGTCAGATGGATATAATAGGGGAGAGGCAGTCCTTCAAACCCCTAGCACCAAGCCTTGTAATGTTTTAAAAGTGGTAACCAGCAATCATTGTACTTCTTTTAATCTGAATGTATGTTATATGGGTATGTGTGCATGCTGTTGTATTTTGTTTAGGACTAATAGGTAGCTGTACAGCAATATCAATAAAATATGTATGCATAACTGGGAAATCCAAGTCCCCCTATGGATTATTGACATCAGTGAGAGATACTAAATAAATTAACAAAATTGAAACAATTGCATGAATTCAACCTGCATAGCTTTCAGTGTCATATTGTATGTATGAGTGTTTAATATATATTTGAGATTATAAAAAGCTCTTTCTGTTTAAAGTTTCTATTCTCATAATGATTCCAAATCCAGAAAGCACACTGAAGATTCAACTTCTGGTATCTCTGACATTATTGTTTTTCAACTCTCCTTATAAATACTTATTTATTGTTGAGGAAGGCGATACAGGATTCTAATTCTAATATCATCCCTGCTAAAATTGATGGTTCAGACACAGGTTGCCATAAAACGAAAAAAAACTGTTAGTTGCAGTTTAAGAACTGGTTTGTTTAATTTTGGGCCAAGAAGTTTTGTGAACCAAGCCATTATAGTTTGTGAAACATGGTTTATGGTGAAGAGCCAGTCACTAATACTTTATTTAACTAATATCAGTTAAAGAAGCTATGGAACATGTAAAACAAGTCTGCCTTGGCTAATGTTGACATTGAGTTATGAAACTAAGAATGGCCATTCTGGTTAAATCTCGGAGATACTAATAGGACTGTATACTGACCTGGAAGTTTTTAAAAAATGGCCCAAAAGAAGGCAATACCAAACCATTTCTGTACTGTTTCCAGAAAACTGTGTCTGTATCAAGCTGAGTTCAGCTCAACTTGAAGGAGTTTTTACTTTTTTCTTTAAACTTTGTACAGGTTATGCTGATAAAAGAATTGTAGACATGTCCATCATGCCTCTTTAACCATTCTGTTATTCACTGGTTCACTTGAACAAGTCCACCTGTGTTATCTCTGTGATCTATAGATTACTGGAAATGTCAAACCTCATAAGGACATTTCTCCTTATTACATTATTACAGGTACCAGATCTGAGCTGCAGAAAACCAGACGATTACTAGAAAGAGCAGAGATACAGAATGCTCTAACTCTACCCCATTGTCTGATGACTGTCCTGATTTTTACAGTCTAAATCAGGGGTGTCAAACTCATGTGGTCACAGCAGCCTCACATGACATATCGGAACCTTTTCCCCCTTTGCTAAATTAGGTGTAGGCACATGACACATCCAGCCAGCGGGCTGTGAGTTCGACAGCCCTGGTCTTGATCATTAATTAGCTTTCATTGTTCTGAATGCAAAGGATATTTGAAGTGAGATACTATGTTACACAAGAACAATTTCTAAAATAATAGAATTCAAAGGAAATATCTTCACCAGATTTAAAAAATGCTTGAATTGTCACATTTTGATAGATCCCCCCCCCCCAAATATATTTATAGTCTAATCCTGACTGATCTAATCCTCTTGTCATCTGCTTTCTTCATCTCCAGGCAAATGTGTAAAGAATTTACTGATCTTTTGGCCCAAGACCGGACACCCATTGGCAATAGCCGACCAACACCCATCTTGGAGCCAGGGATCCAGAGCTGCTTGACTCACTTCAGTCTCATCACTCATGGCTTTGGTTCCCCAGCCATCTGTGCTGCCCTGACTGCTCTCCAGAATTACCTGACGGAAGCTCTCAAAGGCATGGACAAGATGTTCTTGAACAACAACTCTGCTAACAGGCACACTTCTGGGGAAGGACCAGGTAGTAAAACCGGAGACAAGGAAGAAAAGCACAGAAAATGAAAAGAGAGAGAGAGAGAGAAATCAGAAAACAAGCTAATGAAAATAGGGGGTAAAACAGAAAGAAAAGGAGAGATTGAGAGCGATCCTTTGGGAGGAAAAACATTTAATTTTAGCTTTAAATTATTGGATTGGGTTTTGGAAGAATTACACTAGGTAGGTCACATCTGCAAGTAATTTTTAAAAGAAAATAAGGTTCAGAGGCGCACAGTGGAACAGGAAGAGTGGCTCTGGCAAAGGAACTTTTGAAGATAACATCCAGGATTTTTCACTTCTATCATCCCACAATACTTTTTTAAAATAATTTTTGGTGGGGATGAAATTATAACAGATAAAAGCAATCAATAATTTATTGGAAGAATCATTTTGATAATGTTGCTATGTTGGCCGAGGTACACAGTCTGTTTCTGTATTATTACTATTTTTAAAAAAACCTATCTAAAGTAGAAAAAAAAACCTAAGGGATGGATATATTTTATATTGGACTGTCCCATCCAGAGCAAGTTTCCTGATTTTGTGCAAAATTTTTGCTGTTCTCTCTCTGTGTGGTCTGAATAGCTGGGCCTCGAATTGGTCAGTAGCATTTGGCCAAAGTATTTCCTAATAGTGGGGAAAAAGGGGGAAATATGGGTCTGTCCAAACCATGAGTCCTTAAGAAGAATTGTTAGTAACTACACACAGAGGGGATGGGTTCTGGCTGTGAAAATGTTAAAATGTAACCAACTACAGTATATGGATAAGTAAGTGGAAGAGCTAATGGATTGCTCCCAGGTGCTTCTGCTTGCTCTGGATACCTACCTAAAGTGTTAATCAAAAACTACCCACTTAACATATTTAATCCTGAAACTTGGGGGCTGCAAATAATCATTTTTTTCTATCCATAAGGATGTGTATAATTTGTGTATATATGCTCCATTGAGGTATTGGATTGGATCCAGACTTGGTCATATTTGGAGGAGATCTGTTGTAATCAAAATTAGCCATTATAACTCTAGACCTACAACTCAGCATGACTAAGTCTGAAACCAAATAACTGACCATGAGTCAAACCTTTGTTTCATAATAATATATGCCTATCATGAAGTAAACATTTTCATGAAGTTGTACCTGTGGAAAAACAAGTTGCACGGGGATGCAACAACTGTGAAGAACAGGAAAGGGAAAAGGAACATTTCTTTTTGTGGATAGATATAAAGATCAACATGCCTTTTCTTTTCAATTGCAACTTTTTTCATAACTACTGTTGTATGGAGGGCAAATGTTACTACTGAAATGGCCCTGTGCCTGAAACTGGTAATCTTTATTCCTAGTTTGTTTGATAAAAAAAATTCTAAAATACACATGGAGCTCTCACCTGGAACACTACCTTTTACATTTCTATGAAATAACTTGTCCTATTGAAGGGGAGGGTTGGCAGTGCCCCAACAAGAGGCACAGATGTGTGCTACAAAAGTGAAAATCCATGTAGGGAAGAGACTCATGTATGCATTGGAGTGCAGTTAGGCCTCCTAGTCTGGGAACAGTAATGGTACAGATAATGTCACATTTTTATACTAAAATTTGAGCAATGACTGCCTCTCTTTAAAATGTCTCAGATCACAGACACACTCTTTGTTCTTTTAAAGAAATGTTAATAAGAAGAATGTCTTGATAAGTATGTTAAACCTTCTCAGAAGTATGCACCTTTTTAATTTTCTTCTGTTTCCCAAAGCTTTGCCCGCTTGGCTTATGAGCTTCTTCAAAGAGGACTAGAGCTCCGTACACATTTCATCAGGTACTGAGATGAAAATCCACAATTCTGACACTTTTCCTTTTCAAATCAAAGTCAGTTGTTTTGGAATTCTGTAGATGTACTTCTTTAAAGAAGCTCAAAGGGAATAGATTAAGGCTTCACTAACTGAACAAGTGATGCTGATTTAGAAGGAAATACTATGTCCTCCAAATTTTATATATATATAATATATGGTGGGGCAATAGTGTTTGATGCACAGAGTAAAAGCAGATATTACCTTCTCTAAAAGAGGAAATATAAGAATCATGGTTCATTATTAAATTACTATCTAAATTTAAGGAAATCAGTTTCCCCTCGTTATCAAAGGAGTGTTGCAAATTTTGCCTTGGAAGACAAATAGTTGTCTTGACCCTGGGGTGGAAGAGGAGGAATTGGCCATTTCCCAATAACTTGCAGTGATTAAGTATGAATTACATTTAAAAAAAATTAACTCCTATTTTGGAGTAGGTAGGAAAATAAACCATCCTTAAGGGGAAAATGAATGTTACCCTGCATGTTATCACTTTGCAAAAGTTTTGTTGATTTGACAGTGGCTATGGTATTTCATGCATTTTGAAAGATTGTTTCCCTTTGTCACAACAGCTTGTGTCTATGCTTCATTTTGGCCTCATATACTGAATTCATTCTAGAAGATGAGAATAGGATAAAGATGTATTATGCCTGCCACCCTGATCCTTAACACATTATATGGCTGTAAGTTCCATTAATTTTGGTGGAATTTAATTCCACTTAAGGGAACATTGAAGGCTTGGGTCTATGGCTAATCATCCATGCGGAAGTCAATTTTTTATTTAAAATGCAGTTTTCAAATGCTATTTGGGTACTTGCAGTTTTCAATAAAAGTTAGATCATTTCACACTATAAACTGCGATCACATAATACAGCAGTGGTTAATTTTTCATTTGAAGCAACTGCACATATCATATGCCAGACAGTTGCATCTTTTGCAGCATATATACAGAAATGTATCAATGTGCAGATGCTTGAAATATTTTTAATTTATAATTGTCAGTACTTTTTCCATATAGCAAGCTATATACCATAGGTGCTAAATTATGCATTGTGCATTTAAAAGGTGACCCTGTGATTCCTAATTCCCAACCAAGCCAATTAAGATGTACTTGAAACTATTCTTTCACATCAAGTGATTTTGGTGTCATGAATTCACCTTTTTGTTTGTTTTTATCTATGGACATATTAAGGCACCATTTCTGAGTATATTTATCTAGGCAGGAAAGTTCATCAATCTATGAAGCATCCATCCATATATAGCATTTAATTACTAAAATTGCAGTTCTATTGACTTTAATAGGAATTGATTTAATGGTAACTAAATTCAGTTGTGGGAGAAGTTGCAAATTCTGATCTTAATTCATATCTGTCCAATTTCAGTGATGTTTTAGGAGGATGAGTAATTAAACACAGTATTTTTACAATAAGATTGTGATCATGGCTATTGCAAAACTTGAAAAATATTAACTGAGCTTCCATATGGCATTAATTCATTTTAATTAGGAATGTAGTAAAACAATAGTTATGGTCAAAATACTTTTTTATTTTTTGGAGAGTGATATCTTAGTGTAGCCATTGTACTCTACTTGAGGAAAAAAATGTTGGTTCATTTTTGCTGTCTTGAGTACTAGTGTTTTTTTAAAAAGCTGCCCAATTTAACAAGGCAATTAATAGGCAATTAACAATTAATATATTAAATATTGCAGTTTAGTAGGAACTGTCCCTAAGGAAAAAGAAATGTGTTCATCATGAAACACAGTAAAGTCAAAACTGCAGTTCCATCTACCCAGTTTGCTATATTTATTTTTCAGAGAATTGAGTATGTGTTTGACTTGATCCTATTAAAGCCAATGGAATTTAAATGTGTTTAATATTGACTGGATTACACAGCATTCTTTTAAAATAACTTCCTTTATACGACATACTTGAAAATTGTATCTTGTTTGTATGTCTTGTCCATTCCAATATCCAGAAAGAAAGAAGATAGGAAAGACAATGGATCTTTATGTTCATACTATTTTAGAGGACACTTTATGGTACTTGAAGGCAATTGCAGTATTGATTGCTTTTATCTTTTCTCTGAATTTAGTGTTTCTTGCCTAATTTTATAAATATAGCAAGTTTCCTATTGCAAAATAAAAATAATTTACTATTCGTCCTGTTGATATGAACATGAAAGATCCAAATTTAATTAACATTAAAAAGGCCTACTGAGGAAATATTCCATTACTTAAAATTCAACTGCTTGTGCCTAACATACAGATTATCATTAAATTAAACAAGACATTGAGGCAGAAGAATTGAAAAGCTGAACAGCTAATCAGGAGATATTTTGCTCTTAATGGACATGTAACTGATATCGATTACTGAATCACTTGCCTTTTACTTTTAAATGCTGCTAAAGTTTGTTGCATAACATCCCAGGGAACCTGATTTGCTGTTTTAGAATAAAAATTGAACGATTATTTGGGTATGGGAAGACCAATTATTAATTAGCTTTAAAGAGCAGGTGTTTGGAGGCATTATTTGGTAAGCATGTTCCAATCTCAGCTTGCTGACCCTCAAACTAATTTTGTGTATACATATGAAAGACAGAAGGAAATAGAAAGAAGTGCTTTTTTACTGGATAGGATCTTCTGCCCCAATAACTTGTTAACTATTCCAGGAGAATATTCTTTCACAAGGTGTTTTTTTTTTTTGGTATCACCAACAGATTCTGTGACCCTGCAGCAGAATGCACAAATGGATTGAGCAGTATTGTCTACACACTGATTGGCATCTTCATATTTTCAGAGATACATTTTGTGCAATCCATCCTTTGCTATGCCAAGCCCTACTCTTCCCCCATCCCTTATTTTTGGTAATTTTATTCCTCATCCCATCAGTGTTCTTAGAAGCTAATAATCTGACCCATCTACTTTTAAGGTTTTTTTTTCTTAAAGAGCTTTGTAAATTACTCAAGTATATAAAAAATTGGCTGCCAGTGCTACTGTTACATTACAGCTGCAGGACCCAACTTTTTCTTGAAGCAATGTATTAAAATATTAGTTATCAATACAGTCTTAAAAGTAATTGATACCATTTAAATCTCATGAGTAAACACATGAGATTAATTTATGAGTAAAATAAATTTATGGTAAGATTAATTTATGAATCAATGATACCTTGGTGAAATAAAAATAAAACAGTATTTCTCACTTTTCTAAATCCTGTAAAACCATATGACATTTCAGCACTACATATACAGTTCCACTACTGATGAATTACATCATGAAGTCAGTGCACAAAATTTTGTCTTACACAGCACTTTTGTACTGTGTCCCCTGCTTAAAGGGTGGTATTGTATAACTGGAGGAAACAGTTTGGTATCCCCATGGACTGCAGTTGTAGAAAAAATATCTTTGATCAAAACTCTTTAAAATGTCTGAGGAAAACTGAATGTTTTGATTACACAGGGAAAACATAGCATTACCATTTTAATTCATTTAATTTTCCCAGTATTATTGCAGGATTGGGGGAGTAAGAATGAAATTCTTGTCTCAGCTAATACTTAAATAGGAAGAAACAAATTTGCAATATCATTAAAAGTAGCTCATAATATAATTTTTAGCAGAAGAAACTATTTGAAAATTCCTGTGTATCAAACTGCTGTAAAAGAATCTAGTAGGAGAAAACCAGCATTCCTAAATTCAGAGAAAATTCTGTTGAAAAATAATATAGTTTTGAAATTATATACATTTGTGACAGCTAAAAGCAGGTATACTGTTGGTTCTCTTGCTATTCATTTCTGCTCTTTGATGAGAATGTAACGTTTTCCCATTCTCTGCATTATGATGCTTCATCTATTGCACTTACTGGTATTTTAAACACCATTCCACCAAAGACTATGACCTGCAATAGATCATAGTCTTTGGTGGAACAGATCCTCCCAGGCATAGAAATGATGTGAGGCTTTACCAAAGGCTCCCCCAAAGTCACTTGAAATAAAGCAATTGTCTCCCTCTTGAATAATCCAATTGTTAAATCAACCTTATTCTCCATTATTATAAAATTAAGATTGGCTGCTCCTTGGTTGTGTCACTTAAAAACTAAATTTGGAACACACTGACAAATACTGAGCTCAGGCTCTTGTGCTTCCTGCACATCTCGTTCTATGCTTGGGAATTGTTCTTTATTTAAATATTCTGTTGTGTATGAATAAATACACATATGGCTAGAGTAGTTTTGTTATAACCCATCCCCTACCCCCAAAATTTAAAAGAGAGACCACTGGTAGTTGTTCTGAAGCCAAACAGGTGTGCTACCATGTGTAATCTTCTGATAATTTGGAATGTCCCTTTACATAGCTCTCCAGTTCTGACAAGTACAGTTAGCATCATCAATCAATGGCAAAAGCTGATAGAGTGGTCAATACCATCTGCAAAGCTCCTATTCTCACCCAGGAATCTTATTTCTGATAGTTCCCAGTCTGTTTTTCAGCTACATGAAGTAAGAAGAATTGATGCTATGAATAACAGAGGTTCTTGTCACCTGTTGTTTCTTCTGGCTGTCAGCAGCTTCACATTCAACAGGTGCAACTTTTCCTCTTACTGTCTTTTGGCCAGCTTTGCAGTAGATAAAGTCTCTGAGCCACATAGTAATACAATCGCCTTACTGGAAACATTCTATATGATTTCTAGAGTAATTTAGAGAGTAAGGTTGCATTAGTCATGAATATTTAAGATCTGCATCTTAAGGAAAATGGTTTGAAAGGGAATTTCTAAAATTTGTTTTAAATGAAACTTTTTCACTTTAGGTTTAGTATATGGATGGACAAGTATGTGACAATTTCTCACATCAGGCTTCCTTTAAATGAAACCAGCAATCAGGAAAGAAAGGACTCTTTTGCCTGTTTCCCTTTGGGGTGGTTTCTCTTTGAAATGGCCTCCCTTTGCTTTCTGTCCAAGCTCTCTATTGCAACCACTTTGGTACACCTGGGGAAAAACTACATGTTATTGTAAGGTACATCCCATAGACAGGGAAGGAAAATGGGAAAGCACAACTTCCCTATGGCCAAGCTGGCAATCAGTCTGAGTGAAGGAAAGCTCTGAATTCATAGCCTTCTCTTTTCACCTTTGGCTCAATCAATTCATCCAGTTAGATGATTGAGTTCTCAGCAGTTTTCCAGAGGGAGGGGGCAAAACATCACCCTTGAAATAGTAATGGAACTACAATGGCAGCATGACTGGAAGGGAAGGACAATGGATCGGTAGTAATTCAAGACATTTCAAAGGGAGTGGGGGGGGGAGAGGGAGGAATGAACCACCACCCAACCCTAAATCCCCTGCCCCCACAAAGCCCTGAATGGTCACTGGTGATCTAAATAACACTTTGGGGAAACAAAGTGTCCTCTGTTGACAATTTAAAGGCATCCTCCCATTCCATCCTTGCCCCCTCTTTTCTGCCCAATTATCTGCTTAAATTTTCATTAAAAGAAAAACTGCCAAAGTGGTAGGGATAACTATCCACTAGTGGAACAAACTAGCTGCTAAATCAATTACAAGCACCTTGCTCTAGAGTTGCTTATTAGACCTAGGTGAGATTCCTGCTCTTCCACTGGATTTACCTTAGAGGCATTTCCATGTATTATTAAAACCTTTATCTTTCTTTTGCTGAGTGCTAATAGAAATAATGGAGCAGGGGATTCTTACAAGCATATTGTTAACTCAAATATATAACTGGCTGAAAAAAAAATCTGGATGATGACTAGATGGCAGCAGAGATACAACAGAGATTTCTTAGCTGTTTCTTCCATGTAGTGGATTTTTGTTACCCAGAAAGAGTGTCTCTAAGGAAGAGAGTCTCCTCCTTTTTCCAATGATGATGATATGTCTTCAGCACTGAATGCCCCCCCCCCCTTTTTTTGTGGGACAGCTCTGACTAAAACTTTCCACCCGTCTTAAAAGCAACTTATCTGCAGTTAACAAATTAATGCTTTAATTGCACTGATGTATAGCAATAGCAATAGCAGTAGACTTATATACCGCTTCATAGGCCTTTCAGGCCTCTCTAAGCGGTTTACAGAGAGTCAGCATATTGCCCCCAACAAACTGGGTCCTCATTTTACCCACCTCGGAAGGATGGAAGGCTGAGTCAACCCTG